GCCCCCTCCCTCCCCGCCCGGGCGGCGCCCTGCAGCCGCGGGGTGCGGGGGAGCGCAGGCGGGGCGGTTTGAAAGGGAGGCGGCGGCTGCCATATAAACCACCAGGGCGGGCGGGAGACGCCGTTAGGAGCCGGGCTGGGCCCCGCTCCGCCACCCTCCCATGGCCTTCATGATGATGATGGTGATGAAGAAGAAGAAGTTCAAGTTCCGCGTGGAGCTGGAGCTGGACGAGCTGTCCTCCGTGCCCTTCGTCAACGGCATCCTCTTCTGCAAGGTGCGCCTGCTGGACGGCGGCAGCTTCAGCGGGGAGTCGTCCCGGTACGTGCCCCCGGCGGTCCTCTCCCGCTCCCCGCGCATCGAGGGGCCCCCGCCGGCTTGTCCACCCGGTGCTCTTCTCCGCGCTCCCCGAGCTGCCCACGGCAGGGGTCCGCCAGCCTAGCCGCCCTTCCTGCGCGCAGCCCTGCCCCCGCGCCGCGCTCTCCTGTTGCGGCCCCTCCGCGCCGACCTGGCTGCGGCGGGTCCGAGAAGCCGGGCCCCTTCCCGGGCCGCTTTTCAGGCGCTGCCGGGCCCTTCCAGGCGTTGGCAGCAGCCTTCCCAGTATCTCTTACTTGCAGGGCTTGAATTACACCTTGACTCTTGGGGGGGGCTGCAAAAAACATTGGGCTGCCCCATCACAATGCCTAATAAAATCAGAGACCCCCCCAAGTTACGATGGTCAAATCTTATGGGGGGGAAGTCTTGCCTCTTGTCTCTCCCCTGAGCCCCCCCATAATTTGAGCCCTGCTTATTATTACCTTTCTGCCGGAGCCCAGTAGTCTCCGGGTTGCCCCAGCTTGGGAGAGGATCCAGAAAGACTTGACTAGGCTCTGCCTATACAGCAGAGCCATAATTTGTCCTCTGCTCTCTCCCACCGGTTTCTGGTGACTTAAAGAAACCAGCTGAATAAATAGGAGGGTGGTTGTGTAGGTCTGAGGGTCTGGTCTCTTTCTGTTGGGTGGGGCGGGGAGGAAGATGTTTCTAAATTGATTTAAAAGGCTCCCAGTATTTGGTCAATCAGGTGAGTTTTTTGTCTCCTTGCCTTCATACATACCAGCAAAAGGTGTTAAGAGTGAAAAATGGCAATCTTCT